TTCGTGCAGAGATTAGGCGTATTCACTATGGCTTTTATCGGTTCTTAGACATAACAAGACAGGAATATCTGTATCCATCTCACACCTAGCCCTGGCTGAGAGCATCGGCACTGACATCAAGAAACCCAGTGCTGTGACGTCAAAGATGGTAGATTTGTAAATCAGGACTAGGAAATCTGTCAACTTTTCCCCAAGTGGGCATTATAGGGGGGTTCGCTCCGATGACGTAAGGCGGAATCGCAGGCGCATGGGAGTCCTAGTTTAAGCTTGAACCACTGAGACAAAAATCCCCTTATGCTCCATTGTCTTCAAGAGCGGCCACTCGTTAACGCACAAGTTGATGAAGAAACAGGGAGTATTGGATCTTCTGAGGCTGCTGGATGTAGGGCGTAGCATCTTGTCGGCAAGGCGGCAAAGATCATTTATGAGCTGCTGATGCAAGAGGACGAAGTGGTAGTGCTTCGGATACATCGAGCTACCTAAGAAAGGGAAGTCCCTGGGGGACAGTGGCATTTCGGGCCTGGGGGGGCACGGGTATTTCGAAGAACTCAGGCCTCCAAAAATGTCCTCCCACCAAAATTGCGCGACCTGGTGGTAGTGAAGAGCGACCGGCGAAACGTACGAAAATAAATTGAGTTATGATGGCCCTCTTGTTGCGATGTCCTTTGGATGCTAGCCTCGATAACCGCTGGCCTACCAGGGCTAGCGCACAGTGGAGGACGGGCTTGTAGAGCCAGCCTCTGAGCGAGGGTGGGGTGTCCCACATCGGGGGCTGCAGCCGAAGGTCTGCCACTGCGACAGCGCAGTGTGAACAGCCCTGCCACGAGGCCGTCGTTCGTGGCACAGTGCCTGTGGGAGGACATCCTTGCTCATCCCACCCATTGCCGGAATGGAAGACTGCTATGACGATGCCAGCAGATTTCCTCTCAAGGAGCATGCTATATAAGTAGGGCTAGGATGAATACAGTGCTGTTTGACTCATGCTAGGAGCGTATGGTGCCAGCCAGTGTGTACCATGCAGTGCATGACAGCACCTAACAACGCTGGGACTTGGGGTGTTCTGACAACTCTGGGCTGGGTTGTAGTGGGTGATGGGTCCAACGTATCAGCACCTGGAAGAGTATAAAACAAGCAGGCGGCAATACAGCTCAAATCATGGGAAAATGGCAGCTTCTGGTACTTCAAGGCCGCAACGATACCCAAGGGCGCTTACAACATATTCAACTGCAACATCCAGCCTATTTTCAACAAGAATCACCCTAATCAGTCCATTTTTGATAAAGTGTTCTTCTTCTACTGGGGACAGCAAGCATCGAGCTTTGTAGAGAAGAAAGTGAATGAGAGGAACGACTACATAAAGGATCTCAAGGAGGCCTTTGCTTAAGATGAGCTATGTTTCAATAGAGAATGAACTCTCTGTATTAATAACCTCAATCTTGGCAATATTTCCTTTGGGCATGACCAGCGTCGGGCGCTACCATCATTCGAGTCGAAACTGTTTACCTGCATTAGGGCTCCTAAGTCCTCGACGCAATCGACCGAAACCTCAAAGCGACTTCCGTTGATGCTTGCTGTGACACTTAGTGCCTTGATTACCGAGAATGATCACCACGCTCATACCTGGGTACATGGTTAAATATGGTTATTTGGGGAGTGTAACAGGCAAGCCGCTTGCGCGGATGACTCTTATTGGAATGAGCCCGGGTCAATGTGCTACCAAGTAGACAGACGGGCTACGTAAAAATAAAAATATAAGCGCCCAAACCGAACTCTCAAGGTTCCTTCAAACACGAGTTGGATGTAGCCCTTCCTATCTACAAGTTCACTTTCAAGCCTTGGGTTTCTTGCGGTCATAGTGTTAGGCCACCAAATTCTCTGCGCCACACTTTTTTTCACCAAGCCACTTCACCACCCACATCTTGCCACTAGCGGGCGGTGTGTGCGTGGCACGTGTAGGATGTGGTGCCCGTAGCAACAATACACGTAGCCTCTACGCATCCTTGAATAGTTCCACTGAGAGCCAGGAGCGTACGTATTTTTCTGGTCGGCCAACACCATCGCTACGAATACAATGGCGAAAGAAACGGATGAAAAGAAACGTCTCGAACGCTTGATAAGAGAATCAGAGTCGCGGTGCCAAGAAAGTCGACCCAAAACGGAGGAAATAGAGAGTCGCGAGGAAGAGCGACGCATGAACCAACGGGCGACTTTGGGCGAGTATTTGTACAATTGCCACTTCGACATATACCAGAAATTTGGGCTCGCTAGCCCGTCGCACTGCTTTACTGGCCTCGCTCCCTCGGTCGACGGCAAATACTATCCCAAGTGGCTTCGGCCCTGGCGAGCCTTTACCGACGGCCAGCGACAGGAACATTTCAATGATGTGATGCGCATCAACGGCGAGAGGCGGCTTCTCCACCAAGAGAGCACAACAAGAGATGTTGGAGAACGCTTCACGCGCAGCAAAGCTGATTGTAAAAGCGAGATTCGCTATTTTGAGTTTGTCGCTGTCGAATGCCCTGTGCAGAATATTCTGGACCCACTGTGGGCTGATGAGAGGATGCGCCGAAAGTACCAAGTTACGGATCTATCAGTCAGCAGTGGTATTCGCAACTTTCACGACCTCGATGATGACTTCAATCACACACTCGACCAAGGTGTTAAATGGTAGGTCGAGACTGGCAGGGGAAAGCAGCAACCTGACGGGGGTGGCATCCGAACAGACTTGGACGGCAACAAAAGCGCGGCCTTTGTATATGATCAGCAGGCTCCGCACAAGATTGCCGTGGACTGTCTCGAGGCCGCTCTCGCCAAGGAGACGCTATTCGCAGATGTCCACAAGTTGGCTCATGCCGAGCAGGGCATACCGGACTCGAAAACGCAAGAGGTTCAAGAAGCGCATGTTGCCACGGCACTCATACAAGTTTTTAATTTTTTGGTACGGCGTCAGCTATGGCTACATCGCCACTAGCAAGTGTTATGTCTTTCTCTTCCATGACCGAGCAGAACCACTGGTGTTGCGCTGGCATCTTTGCGTACCAGACAAGGCGGTGACCCGAGCAACATCCCGCGTCCAGGTCGATCACGATCAAGTGTCCCACACTGCTGTCGCTGACCTGGCCAGCTTTTGTCTCCTGAGCCTCAGCTCCCCGGCGCTTACGGGCCGTCTGTTTCAGGAGGCTGTGGATCAGGCGGCGCCGGTTCTAAAGAAATGGAAGACGGAAGAGTACGTGGACCCGCTGACAGGTCCAGAGCTCGAGGTCACAGATTCGTCGTTGGCTCCGTTCCCACGGGGCACGGATGGGCCATGCGATGACAAGGACGGCAGAGTAGAGGATCAGCAATGTCGAAGCGCGGTGAGCACCAGCCTCAACAGGCGAGAGACAGACTCCATCAGCAAGGGCAGTGGCGACGGCCCCGGCGGCTCTGCTTTGGCGCTCACGAGACTATACTGCACACAGGCCTGCCTCGCTGGCCTGAAGCTGGCTCGTCCCCTGGATAGCAGCTGCCCCAATGTACTCCCCCATGGCCTTAGATATGAGACTTTGGTGTAGACAGAGATCAAAAAGTTTACTCGGATCTGATTGGTCCAGATTTGTATGGACAATTTCAAAACGAGGAGCAACTGGACGACGCTGCCCTAAAAGTGGATCCTATATGGCAGCCCCTGAATACATTCCGTTGTCAGGTTTGATCCACCAAACGCCGCTAATAGATTAGGTTGCTGTGGCCTAATCGGTTAGGTCAGCTCTCCACGCTAGAAGACAGCGCACTGCGGAACTAAGACTGTCTTGCGTTCAACCAGCCAAGCAAGAGAGCTCCACCTACTAGAGGGTCCTCGTCCATTCAACGGCCGCTGTCTCTGCCAAGCTACTAACGTTACTTAGGCTGTGTCACTCACTCAGCGATCGCCATCAATTCAAATCAAGCCGATCGCCGACGACGATTTTAGGCCGCGGCTCACGAAAATAATGTGACTGCCCCAAGCAAGGATTCAGGGAAGTCTTGGCAAACTTTAAACAAAAAATTGTGAGCAACCGAGCACAGACACACAGTGATCGGAAGTAGGCAGCCAGGTAGGAAAATATTGCAGGGATATGTCACTGCCTGATTCACAAGTAAAATTCGATCGCCTCGCTAGTATCCCAAAAAGACATTTTTTTGATCGGTCTATTACATAATCCGCCTGACGGAGAATGCGTCCACGCTTCGTAGCAGAAGCAATTATATCGCGTCTATAACTGCGAGACAAAAAAAAGTGCGGTTTCACATTTAATTTCAACACGCAGTAACTACAGGCTAATTAACGAGTTGTGTTTTTCGGTGGCTGGAGTAGGATCGCGCAATCAAAGTCAAATCACCATGACGCAGCCTCGCTGGGCATATGCTGTGGTGACTTCCAGGTACGGGGTTTCATTAAATTGCCAGCAAGACTAACAAGTTAGGTGCTTTTAGAGCAGGTTAATAAAGCTCTTTCATGGCTGGCGGGGTGCTCAGTGGCTAGGTGGGTGTTGGGCAGAGGCAGCCGCATGGGTAGAATGAAGGCGATGCGCGGACGTACAGTACGACCGCATTGCATGGTTCATGTAGAGCTCGCTCAGTCAGCTTCGATATGTCATTGGCAGGCAGGCCGGTGACGAAGTCGGTGCAGGTGGCCACTGCGAAGATGTTCGCTGCTGATGCTTTTTTGTCGTTGCCAGCATTCTGCCAAGCAAAAGTGCTCGCGACAGCCTCATTTAGAGTCTTTATACCCTTGCCCAATTCGCGCCCCACTCCCCAACGGCATCAAGAAGGCTGTCTTGTAGTGTGGTGATTCCCGCGCCGAGTTCTTGTCGAGCTGTGGTTATTGCCTGCTTTATGCCGGTTTGCGCGTCGCTGATTCTGGCCCGTAAATGCAGCTGCGATTCCTCTACAGCCTGTTTGCACGCTGCGACGACGTCTTTGATCGTCTGAAGGCCTTGACGGCATGCGCCAACATCAGTGGCGACAGCATCGAGGACGTTTCGCGACTGAGCGATGCCATCATTTAGTGCATCGATACCACAGTGCATAATGCGGTTCTTCTCTACCTGCTGAATGCGGTCGTGCAACGCAGCCGCGGTGACTGCATTTTGATCAAAGCGCTCCGTCATTTCGGCCTTCAGTATCCCAATTTCGCGTCGCATACTAATAATCACATCAGAGATATGCGCAAGGTCGGGGTGCTGCGCGCTCCAGTGTTAATGTTACTGTTGACCCCTGATCACGCGAGTTGGACAGCTTACTATATCACTCATGATGCTCCGTTTGCAGATGCGAAGAAAAGGTGTACATATGAGGAGGGTATAAATTTCGTGTAGATGAACTTGCGAAAAGTCCAACTTACCGTGCCAGTACGCGAAGGATGGCATTGCGGACGCCGATGGACTACCTCCGCCCCAACACATTGCAGCTATTGGTTTCGCTGCACGTACACTTGCCAGTCTATTCGTCTATTCGGACTCCAGATTGGTCAAAATACCGAACGCATGGTGGACTACTGACGCAATAAGTAAATGCATTCAAGTTAAATAGAAATTACTAAAACTTGTGCAGCAAGCCATCATCAACAGCTTTACCCCAATCAAACATTCCTTCCAGCTCTTCAGTTGATATCAACATACTTCCATCAGCTTTACTCTTGCCGACGAGTTCGCCTTCATCAACAGCTTTATCCCAATCAAACGTTGCTTCAAGCTCTTCAGTTGATGTTGACGCACCTCCATCAGCTTTACACTTGCCGACAAGTTCGCTATCATTTTGCAGATGCGCCACAGCCACCAGAGCGTCTTCCACAGGCATATACGGCCATGGTGGAATTTCTCCGAGAACGACAGGTGGATCCATGTTCGCGATTACGGGTTGCATGAAGAGGTTAGTACAATGACTAT